GGGGGCCGCTGTCGCGGCTATGGATGCTCCGAGGTGAGTTGCAAAGCCGCTCAAAGCCTCCCGTCCAACAAAGAAGCTAATTTGAACATAATAACATGTTTATTTGACCTTGATATTTTGGAGTATGAATGTCATACGAAGATTACTCGGCAAATCTGTTATAGGTTTTTATCAAGCTGCTCCACGTCAATCGGTACTGAGCAACCAGGTGTTCCACTAGCTTTTTATTTTTGACAAGGCGCCCGTTCAACGGAATCCCTTTTTCAATTCGCCGGAAAAGGCGTTCAATAAATTTAAACAGGTAAGCATTTTTAATACTTCAATTCGCTTATTATTCAGCATACAGGAAACCGATTCACTGAAGCCATACGAGATGGTCAAAATGGTTTGACGATATAGGCACATCGTTTAAGCCTTCTGTAACCAATCTGCGGTGTAGTCTTGGATACTTTAACGGTGATCAACTGCACAGAACACGATCGTCACGCCTGATTTCTTAAAGAAGCTTTGCAACATCAACATTTGTAAAAAAATAAAATAAACGGCTTTAACATTCATTGACCTTGGAATATTCCGATGCTGTTTGATCTGATTTACCTACAGCGGCATAACACAAGTTTGTGCGATGAGGCTAAAGGTTTACGGGTTGTGGCTAAAACATTGCGGGTTTAGGCTAAAGGATCGTGGATCGAGGGTGAACAACTGGTTCTATCGTATCCGAATTCCGGTGGTAATGACCCCAAAATGATGCGATCGGGACCAGAGCGGAGTCCGCGTGCACACCTCCAGATGGGCACACTTCCAACTACGCCAGTCATGATTGGAATGAACCAGTGCGTCCGGGCGTCCACTGTTGTCACGTGGGCGTAATTCGCTGGGCTGGTATCGGTATTTCGGTCACGCATTCACGCGCAGAATACTTCGATCAACTGATTTACTGAGTGATTTTTGGAAACCGGTTTTTGTACATTCTGTATTCTCATAGCGTGTGAGTAATGGGCGTTTGTTCTATCCTTTTCTACAGTTACTCTGTCAGACTTTAGGCCAAAAAGTGAGGAAATTCGAACCCAGTAATTCGCGATGTGTGCCTGTGTGCAGACCATAGGCCCAAACGAATTAATTGGAACAACTTTAAAGTTTTCCGGATCTTTGACTTCAGTTTTGCTGGATTGGTCATCAACGATGGCAAAGTTTGAGCAAAAAAACCGAACCCCAATTCTTTAACACGTGGTTGAACGCTTACATCACGATTTACGGTTTGAGAAGCATGTATAAATATCAGACAATGAAATAGCTTTTAATTGGGTCATTTCTTTCCGGTCAGTTTGACCAAATGACCATTCGAAGTGGAGTCAGCTTCAGTTCAGTGTTTACAATCATTAACCATGCGCGGCGGTTTTGGTTTCTGTCCTTTGGCTGTCGAATAACCGATCAAGTCAAAATGTATCGTAATGATAATAAGGATTGGCCATACTGTGAACAGTATGTGGTTTTCCCCAGTGTGTTCAGTAAAGCCGAATCCATGGCGCATAAGTTTCACAAAAGCCACACAAACAACACAACCCAGGATGTGTTTCACGAATTCAACTTACCTTGACGATAATTTTCAACGCGATTCCCAACTTTCGAAGTGCCGGCTCGATTTTTGTGTACAACATCAACATTTCAGTGTTGTGCAATGCCTTCACAAGTGAGAATGAGATAAGAAAAAGAACATGAAACAAAGAAAACAGTCATGAACCAAAGGCTAACAATGAAAAGCTGGCTTGCCTCATTACCACCGCAATCATACATATATAGCGAAAGACAAGGTGAACTCAAATAACTTTAGCCTGCTTAACGACGCTGGTAACTTGTTTTCAAACGTTCATACCAGCCGAGGTTAACCGGAGTGCAAAGATTCACTAGTGAGGATTTCCGTGTTATTACGCAATATCGTGTGGTGTAAAAGAGGACCTATTTTTTAAACATCAGAAATGGCAAACTGAACCCTGAAATTACAGCGGCGAATCAAATAAGACCCCAATGAATTATGATCAACCACGCGAAACACCTACGTCGACAAAGAAAACGCCGACAGTAGTTGACCAGTATTGATCCAGATCTCATCTCTATCTGAAATGGCAATGATAGATAAGGTATATTTTGTCTCTCTTTCATTGAACGGATTCCTGATGATAATAGTGGTGATGTCAAAACGAAACAACCACAGATTCGGGGTCCTGGAGCTTCACCGGCAATCCGACCACATGGAGCTGATCATAGAGAAACACTATTAATGACTGAACATTGTCTGCGTTGCACTTTTTAGTTCTGGTGAGTACAATTATGGTATATTCCCACTGGTGCACTACCGTAAATGATTCGTGATGACTCGTTGCGGTGCCTTTTTCCGATCTAGATTCATGCTATGGGAATGACCTCATTTGCATTGCTAAGACCAGGATTAGCCTGGGGCCACCAAAAAGCATGCTTCAATCCACGATTGCTCGAATGAATGACACTTGTTTACCCTCGGTATTGCTTGTGCACTACACGGCTCTACAGGATTATAGCCCATTTTGTTTCGCTACCGACCCCTGATTTTGCAATGAGATCTATCTCTCAGTACTCCGCTCTGAAGTGTGTGTACCTATATACATCAATTACACCACCACATCGTTGTGGAGTTCCAAAAAACAGCAAAAATATTCGTTTCGAACAACAACGAAATTTCCACTTCAGAGAAATATCAAGTACACGCCAAAAGTGCACCAGTCCTGCATACGCTGCTCGAGCACTGGGAATGTTATCTTCTTTAATACATTACCGTTGGTCGTCACGGAATTATTTGGTTAGGAGGAACCATCAACGTTAACTGATTTTCGACCATCTAGTTTCATGGCAGGACTATTTAACAGTGAAGTTAAGGGTTGGGTATGGCGCATCGCAATGCAACGTACACGCCATTTCACGTTACAAGTATGGAACAAAGAGCGAGTGTGCGAAAGACATCCGTAGGCCCAGACAGTCGGGACCAGGTTGGACGGAAGAAGTAGGCTAACAACATCGAGGTAAAACGCTGCACTGATGGAACATTTTCAGCAAAACATGACAAACTACACATAGACCTGTAGGGCAAAGTACACTATTGTGTTTTGGAGAACAGCGGACCACCGCAGCACAAGGTGTGTGCTGACAAGGTTACGAAGTTGATCGTTGCTGTTTTCAACGAGGATTCGACTTTTAGATCGGCTAGCACATTGACGTATGAGCAAACAGAATCCAGTCTGCTGCGAGAAGTTAGCCTTCGCAGTATTGTGGGACAAAAATAAAAATAAAAACGTAATCGAGAAAATATGCAATCAGTCCGGAACAATGGATAAATGGAAATGAACAAGTCACACGGAATTACCGCCACGACACTAAACACGAAACGGTTCGCTATACGCGGAGAGGTAACACTTGAACTCTTGCAATCGCGGACAAGTGACACACGACGTACTGGGATCGTGAACCTCGAACCGCAAGCTTGCACGCTCAATTTTTAGCTAACCACACGAAAGATGGCGTAGGATACAGCGAGCAGAATTTTGTGTGCAAGAAAACGGGCACGCAATTATTAGGGGAGACCACTTACTAAGTAGTTGGAAAAGCTGATATCCACTTCGAAAAAATCGATGAAACGGACTTTGAGAATGGGCACTTTGGCATGAAGAATTGCACGTAAATGAGTGA